AGAGGGTTCTGACTGCAGGCATCCTCCTGTTAAAAATATCATACAAATGTGGTTATGTTTAAATGCTTGTATCGTGGGGTGCACTGTATTTCATTGGAGCAGACACATGGCAACTCACCAAGGCAGGAGGACAAACAGTGGAGGTTTCCTCACTGGTGAATGTGATGTGGGGCAGGACTGCATCCAGCACATCATCACGTGCCTCCCAATCACTCTGGTATGCCTTGTCAGCCTCATCTGGATCAGACTGCTCAGGCTGAACCACCTCCTCCTCGGGACCAGGTCCGTCATTGACAATGTCCTGAAGAGAGAAGGCTCCGGATTCACCTGTACTCTGACTGAACAGGTACTCCAGCCCAACAGCTTGTTAGAGGAGATAGCAGCAGGGGTCCTGAAGTTGTCCTCCACAGACTCTCCAAACAGCTGCTGACAGCAGGCGTTGAGGCGGTCAATCAGCGGAGCCAAGTAGGTCCTGTAACGCCATCCTTTGCCTGCAAACAACATCAGAGCTCCTGTCAGAGTTCCACCGTGCGATGCCACTTATCAGGTAAACCTGAGAGGGTCGTGTTGCACAGAGGGGACCTGATCATTACAATAAACAGCATTAGAATAATGACAGGTACCAATGCAAAGATTTTTACACATTAACTGAACTGTTAAAAAACAGACTACACATGTACACCTGGAATCATGTTCAGCAGAGTTTTGTGGAATCCTTCCAGGCTGTTGCTTCCATGCCGGCATTTATAGTAGGGCATGTAGATTCAGTTCAATTCAATTTTATTTGTATAGCACATATTTACAACAAAAAGTAATCTCATAGCGCTTAACAAAGGCAGAAACACCCAACAATCCAAAACATTTGGATTCCCTATAAGCTTCAGCAGTCAGCAACAGTGGGAAGGAACCAAAAAACCCTGTGGGGGGGGAAAAAAACCTCCGACAGAACCAGGCTCAGGGAGGGACGGCCATCTGCCTCGACTGGTTGGGTGGGTGTGGGATGAATTATACAATTTAGTGTACAGTACAGATGTTGTTATTGGTTGTGGTATGTGTCACCTTGTACATATTTGTGTCTGGTGGATCCTGGATGCACCCCAGATGTCTCTGTTGTGCTGCCCACATCTCATCAATGACCTCTGTAAATAGACATACATGCATACAGTGTTATATTCGTTTTTTGTATCAGTGTTGTATTAACTTTTGTATTTTACCTGGTGTTTTCAGAGGCTCACTCCACTCTCATCCAGTCCTGCAGGACCTTTCAGCTCCTCTGTGGCCAGGTGGATGAGCCAGAATGTTTCCTGAGCCCCGAGTGTGATCCTCTGCATGTGATGCTTTAGCTGCTCCGTGGAGATGTGGTGCTGGACAAAGTCTTTATCAGACGCAGACTGCAGTATTGCTGGATTGTTGACTCTGACAGCACCACTCCAGCTACTGCAGACTTGGAGTGAGACTGATGGCTGCGTCGAACCGGTGGATCCAGTGGAAGATGTCAAGGCACATGACCACCCCATGGTTCACCCAAGGCTGGAACAAAGTCTCCACTGCTGTTGGGCCCTGTGAGGGGGAACACATACGGTCCACGTCAGGACAGGATTTTGGTGACAGGTTGATTGACCAGCTTAAACTTTTTCACAGCTCCTCTGAATATTCTGCCCCAGCTTTTCCGTAGACTTCTCACCGGTCAGCACAAAGGAAACGGTTTGAGAGTACTCGTTTTCAGTGCTGGTGAACCACTTAGCTGATCATTGACCCCTCCAAACAGCTTCTTCACCCCCTTAAAATAATTGTAAAAAGTTTGCACAGTATAATAATCTCTTTTTAGATACCAGTTTAAAAACATTTGACAGCTATGTGAATATTTTGTTAAATTCAAAACAGAAAAACAGAATTCAAAAACACATGAATTTAACAGACATTATGACATTATGTTTTGATTTACATACTTTCTTGGTGGAATCCATTTTCAGCACAGTGCCAAAAGTGGAGAGGGTCTGGCTCCGGTAATCCTGCACATTGTTGGCCTCTTCCTGCCAGCAGGAAGGCGTGTCGAAGCAACCATGCAGCGGGAGGCTCTCTTGGAGGAAGTTGGGCCTGGAATGTGTGTCCTAATCCAGAGACCATCCCTCCGGGTTTCACTACAATCATGAGGAGTTCAGTGTAAACGGCGGCCGAATGTTCAGATATCAAAATTGCTATCCGGATACCAGCACAATGACCAAATATTCAGTTATTTGGGTCCAACCCTATTCCGTTGTGCAGCACAGGCCATAATGTCATGTGGGTAGAAGAGTAGGAATTTCTCAAAGAGGGCAGTCTTAATATGAGATAAAGGGAAGAACTAAAAGAGGGAGAGAGGAACATTAGACAGCAGATAAAAGCAGCTGCTAAAACTACTCCAGTCTAATGCTCTTTTCTCTGCTGGGCCCTGGATCTGGGTATCAATCGTGTTTTATAGCATATCTAAATACACAGATGCCTGCTTGGGAGAGTCATCTCCCTGATGTTGGTGAGACAGAACTTCATCTACTGTAGAGAGATTTGCTGCCCATGCTGAAAAGCAAACAAGAGAGACTGAGGGTAAAGAAAGAAGCAGAAAAATGGGACTGGACTCTTCATAGAGACTACAAATGTCTCCACTTGTGGCCTATGAGGGACAATTCAAAAGTGCAGAGATGGTTGTTATAACTGGAGCAACAATTGGCACTGGGTGGAGGACTGTCCAAGAGCCACGGCGGTGAGCAGGGACCAGAGAGGGACTGATGGTTTGCGGGCCGGATCAGGACTCTGGAGACAGTAAGAACACCGACATACGTCTGTAGCTGACATGTACTGTCTAGTGTACAATGTTAGTTTAGCATTAGAAAATAGTACTAAATTCCAAATGGTGCTATTTTGATTTCCATATGTGCTGTTGACACACAACAGTTTCAGAGCTCTACCCACAATGACACTACGGGTCTCGGACACACCTGTCACTTTTCTCCTGGACTGAGGAATCTGCAATTAAGACCGCTGCCTTAACCCTCCCAAAAAACTGAGCAAAAGGTTTATTTAAACAATCAGAGTAATGGGAAACGCAGTGCATTCTGTGTGTCAGCCTGTTTTATAATCAAAGTCTCTTGGGTTTTCCGACATGCCCGAAACAAACCAAAAAACATCGACAATGTAGCTGCAACACAACAGAGTAAAACTTTTAAAGCAGTTCTGTATCTGAAAAAAGTAAATTTATGGTTATTGGGATTGTGGTAATAGAATACATAGTTGTGAGTCTCATGATGATTCTCATGATGATGTTATGTAACATCTGATTCCACTGATTAGGAAAGTAGAGCCTGTAGAAATAGCATTGTTGTTTTCATCATTATATATACAAAAGTAAGATTACAAAACACAGCAGATAGTCAGTGTACTTCTGCTTTTGAATGGTGTTTACTCTCAACAAAAATTTTACATGAAGCGATAAAGAATGGCCTTACTCTTCGGCTGGCTGAACACAAAGGTTTCAGGAAGTTAAAACTACTCTTAGTTAGATAGTTACTGGTAGGGAATGTTGCTCCTCTATCTCTGACAACAAAAGTTATAGATGTGGTTCATGACACAGCCAATAGTATTAAAGAGCTGTAATTTATGGCTTTATTGTGCTATTTCCCTAAAGTCATGAGGTTTTCCAGTTTAGCTTCATCTTTACTTCCTCTCGGTGTGACTGGTTTTACCCAGTTCCTGTTTCAGTAGCAGTTGTTAAACTATTTATTTGTGAGATCACCATTACTATTCAATCAACTCAGCCATAGTCAAATGCTTTGAAGTTTATAGCTAATATATTGTGATTCTTTAGACTTTGAGGACTGAATTCCACCCAAGAATAACTGTTTAAAACCATCATCTGATTAAAAAAAGAAACCTACTGATCATGTGTGTTTTTATGCTTGTGAACAACGATTTCATTAGATGATTTCAGTGTTATTTCACTGATTACATTGCAATGAGTGTCGTCTCTCTTTTTAATATACAATAAAAGAAGAGAGGGGTGTTTTTTTTTGTTTTTTTTTAAAAATATGTATTTTTCATCTTCTTTGAAAATGTGTTTCATTTGTTTGTTTTCCTTTGCTCCAGTTTGATTTAACTTTGACAGCTATGATGTCGACATTTAGGGACCACAGTCGGGGGTCGTGTGGGGTTTTACAGCTCGCTTGAACATATGAAAACAACTAAACAGCTGTTTCAATATTTTTTACTTGTTTGGTGTATTGTAGGGTTTTTGTTTCCATCCATTTTTTAAAAATTATTATAAAATGATCAAGGGAATGAAAAGTGTGATTGAAATTCTGTATTTTACTGCTCATACTAGACATGTTGTTTTGCATATTTCATACATTAACTATGTGATCTCTCCAGTGTGGATGTGTCTCTCATCCAGTGCCGTCTAATCTAACCTTAACCCGAACCACAATGTTTTATTTTAAAATGAACTAGTTTTGAGGATTAGCGTGAACAGCTAGCGTTATGTGCTTTATTGACTTAATTTAGGCCAACGTTAGCTTGCTTGAAAAGCATGCTGCTGTTGTTTATTGCTTAGATTTTTATTTTTTTAAATTAAGTTTTTAACACATTAAGGCACCCTCCCTGTTGAAGAGCCAGCTGACCGTAAACTGACTTATTTCACTTTGGTGCAGCATCAATATATTCAAATCTGTGTGTTAGCAATACTTTGTACATTTTAAAGCCTCTGTATGATATCATTTTGTCCTCTACATGCACAAGGTTGTGTCCAAAGTCTGGGTTTTCTACTCAAAGAATCTGTGGTCACTACTCGTGTGGTTGGAAGGTCGGCTCACTGAGTAATTCTGGGTTTTGTTTTGGTTTTTTTTTTGCTTTTTTTTCAAATAACTTTTTTGACCTTTTGTCACTTTTTTAACTGGGCAGTTTGGATTATCTGGAACTTTGAACACTTTCTTATTGTTTGGTTGGCATGGCAACGAGCAGGTGTGCTACATACTCCAGGGACTTCCTGCTACAGCTACAGCTTCAGCTGACAGGGAATTCCCCCAGTTGTTCTTTATCCTGGTCTACACAACCTAAAGCAAAGGCAGCTGCAGCTACAGAACAGATTGGAGCTCATGTCCCCCGACTCTCCAGAATTTGTCCCATGTAATAGAATGTGATATTTATGATGTGGTTTATTGTTGTTGTTGTTTTTTTTTTTACATCTTGATGTTGAATACTCAGAGTTTTTGAATTGCCCCCAGGGGATAAATAGTTATTTGAATTAAATTGAAATGTCTCCATATGAAAGTGCAGTATTTACAATACTTACACATCTAACTTATTTTTGTTTGTTGACTGATGTCCCTATCTCTTTGCACTTGTTTTGCTGGTGTAACAATGCAAATTTCCCCGCTTTGGGATTATTAAAAGTCAATCTTACCCCGTATTAAAGTCGAGACGAATCACATCCTAATGTTTGATTTATCAGAGAGGGGCAAAGGGCCTGAACATCTTGACATTCAGGTCAGATTAATTTTCTCCAAATAGCTTCTTGTGGCTTTACTAATTTCATGGTAATTTGGGGCCTGAGTAATCTCAATGAATTAGAAACTAATGTGGTTTTGGTGACTTTAGAACAGAAAGAGACCAACAGGCAACTGTCAGTGGACTAGCAGCAGCACAGTAAAGGTAAGTATGTTGTCTTAGGATATATTGGGGGAAACTTTATTCATCTTGTTTACATGTGTTATACCCGTCTGCACTGATTATTGTGCACATCTTATATAACTTAAAACAATTCTATCTCTTTAAATGGCTTATCATACTTGCTGTACATTTACTGTACAATTCTGCTGATGATAGTGTCTCAACAATTGTTATGTTGAGAGACTGTATTTTTAATAGAAAATCAGGAGACCATATATATACACCTAAAGGAAGTTTTTAGGATCACGTTACCACACGTGTTTGCAAAATGTGGCTCCTTTTTCTATTTTCACGGATCAGTAATTAAGAATTTGAATCTGTGGAAACTATTTTGTCTGTCCTCAGCAAATTTCATGGCAGTGGGAGAATGCACATATTGAACCTTTGAAACGGCTGCTCAGGCGATTTTCGAGGTTGAAATTATTTTAAAAAAAGAAAGAAAAAACGGCTAAATTACTTTTAAATAGCCTCGTTGCGGGTTCTAGATAGTAAACAAGTGAACCGGACCCAGAGGGGAAAAAAGAAAAAGAGCGGAGTTGGAGCCAGACTCAAAGAGGAGAGAGGACTGCTGCATTTTTGGCATTCACCGAAACCAACTAACTGACCTTTGAAATGACAGACTGACCCGTGCGTTAAGTTTAAAGTAATTTCAATTTGAAGTGATCACAAACATGCTTTAATGTACATGTTCATTTGGTCCAGATGTGCGGATAAAACCTACAGGCTGGTTAAACCCAGAGGCGGAGCGGACGGTGCCGCCTCAAAGTTCGCTAGTTTCACTTTCGATTTCTCTCTGTGGCGCAGTTCGTCCTCTTCGTGTCAAAACTCCGTCTGAAGGTACAGCAGACCGTTTTATTGTTGTTTTCAGTGTTTTAATCGTTAAGAGCAACTGTCGGCAGTTTTACTTACAGTAAAAAACGCAAAAACTCGCCGCTCGATTGTTCGCGGTGACAGAGTTTGACGTGTGAAGTCAGAGTCGAGACGAAGGAGGAGTACTGAGCTTTTATCGGCCATTTTATTTGTGCGAAGCAGAGAAACGCGGTGAACAAGAACAGCAGTGGAGTTAATGACGAACTGGAAAACCCCTTTTCACATTAGCAGATATCTATAGACGCATTCTTTTTTGTCTGAAAGAACATTTCAGACATCCACAATATAGTCTATAGTATATATATATACTCATTATTGTGACCTCAGGCTTCCACACTGACAAGCACAAAGAACAGACTTGTAACAGTTCAATTTTTATTATCTGGAATTAAGAGTATTTCCTCGTCAGAGTTCTAGTATAGACATAACACACACACACACACACACACACACACACACACATATACATACATATATCTGTGTATACTGAAGTTACAACCGTGATTAGATGTCTGTAAATTCTTAGTCAACGTTTCTGTTTGCTTCTTCTTGCATGAATCATAAAGAAAAGTGAAGTGTTGCCAGACTGCAGGTCTGTGGCTCCATCTAGTGGATCAATACGAGTCCAGCAGCTGATCGCAGCCTCTTCTGTTTCACACTGATGGAAACAGAAACAGTTTCTGTTTCTAACTATACAGATATTTGTGATGTTTGCATTTTATCAGCAGCATGGATCAGCGAGAGGACAGAGTGCCTCCTGTTGTCCCTCCATGTGGGGAAGAAGAGAGCCAGAGCGGGGTTCAGAGGTGAGACCATCATCTTTAACTGTCCATGACTCTTCTTATGTCAGAGCCCAGCATCACATCACTCTACCATCATTATTCACAGTTCTGAACCTGAACCCAGCTGTGTGTCC